AGCGTATGTGTTAAGCCCATGACCTTTGAGCTATAAAAAGAGCAGATCAACAGAAGGAAGCAAGAACAAACGGAGGGGAAGATACAATGGACCAGAGGGCAGAGATGAAAAGAGACAAGCGCTTGGGAGGGGGTGGGAAAGAGTCAATAAAGAGAGAGAAAGACTTCTCCTAGGTTTGGTGGCCTAGATAGAGACATCTAGACTCCTACTAAACTGAGAAAATAGATGTATGTTATAGCAGCACTGAGAAACTAAGACCGCTGTCATTCACTTAGGCCACAAGATGAGGCTTGAATTGACTTTTTAAGTTCAAGTGTCTTCATTTTATAGGTGAGGTATTATTAATGAGTTATTTAAGCTTTCCCCACAACTGTTTTTTATCATGACTTTTAAGTTGTTAGGGAGAGGTAAGTTGAAACAAGGAGATTGGGAAAGAACAGTGGTTTATAGTCATTTTCCCTGAAGTGAAGTGTGTTTGCTAGCAAAATAATTATACTAGATGTCCTGTGAAAAAATAGTAAAAAGGTTTTATGACCCATTGTGGGACATACCATCGATTACATTTCACTCTTAGTCATTTATGATCCACTTTAGCACATGTTGTTCTCTGCTAACCTGGTGGTAACTTCCAAAATGGGCTTTTTAAAATCAGGTTTACTAAAGGATAATTTCGATACAATAAACTTATCCTTCTTGAGAAATACAGTTCTACTGGTTTTGACAAAGGACCACATAATCAATACAATTCCAATTAGTTTTTAAAACACAAATAATGTGATCTGCTATTGTCTCTAGTTCCACTTTGGGATATAATTGGCAGGATCTGTAGGGCACATCCACATACTTACATCCCATAGCAATTCCACGAGCTTGGAACCATTATTTCCTAAGTGAAAGCTACACAGAAAGAATTCATTCAATATCCACCAAGGTACTCAGTGAAAGATGTAGACTGAATGCAAAAGTTCTTGTGACACATCCTGTTTCTATTTGGCACAATAGAAAGAGAGCATTCTGATACCACCAACATGCATTGAGTTTATAATTCTTCCATAAACCCTTTAAGGTGGGTATTATTATTCAAGTGAGCAAATAGGAGTGAAGTGTCTTGAATCAGTTTGTTCTACTCCAATATGACCTCATGATAAGTAAACTTAGAATCCCATCAAAGATCCTATCTCCAAATAAGCTACATCGCACAGAGGGAAGACAGTGTGCAGGTGAACAGTGGAAAAGTGGGCCTAGGAGTCAGGGGTCAAGTTGGTGGCAGTCCATAGTAACTATCTCAAAATCAGGTGACAATCTAGCACTTACTGGGTTCATTTATTTATGCCGTTTAGTATCCGGGAACCTTGGTTATGTATTGGGGAATTCTGAAAAGCACAAATGATAAGGTCTTGCCTCTCGAAACTCTGATCTAGTGGCCATGACATCTACACACACACACATGCACACACAACCAAAATTGAGAACCATTTGTAAGAACAGTAAAAATCAGTGTCTAAAACTTACTTAAAAAAAAAAAAATCAGTCCATACTCCAGGTCTCTCACCTCTCCTCTCCATCTGTGTCAATATTAAGTGCTTCTGCTAAAATGTTATCTCTTTACTAGAATCTGCCTGACAGAATCTCTTCCTTCAGAAAATCCCATTCGGGATATTGCTAACATCACAAATCTGATGGTGATGTAGCATCACAAATCTGATGGTGATTGTCAGGCAGAAACGGGAGTTAGTAGGGCAGGCGGGCAAAGAGATATCCAGAGCTGGGGAAAACACCTCAAGCACGCTAGGAGAGGCCAGGCCTGCAGGCCCAGGTGCCGAAGACTAACCGTTACAGATAACTTTGAACACTGCTGCTTAGCTCCAGACCTGCAGACAACAAAGTTGCAGTGGAAAATTCCCCAGCTACTCCCTTCCCCTAGACCTGAGCTAAAAAACTCCTCACCTCCCTCCCGGGTGGCACGACTTCTTTTGCACCCAATTAGGGACCCATGAACCTTGCCCGGGAGCTCTGAAATAAATCTTTGTTTTCTGCCTTTGCTTTCTTTCTTTCTTTCCATCTCCAAATCAACCTCACAGTGATGTACATGTATCCATTCATATGTACAATTCTTTAAAGAGCGGGATAGTATATTTGAATTTGAAACACATAAAGGCTTTGACAGAATTGGATGTGTTACAAATAGGTAATAAATGTCATAAAAGGACATTTTATTCAATGATGAACACACTGGAAAATGCACAAATCGTGTTCAATTTTCATAAAGTACATGTCCTGATACATCCACATCATACCAGTAACATGACCAGGGTGCCTCCCTGAATCCTTTCTTGTACTTTAAGTTTCAAAAATTCAAAATAAGTGTTCTTTGTTGCTGCTGTATTAGTCTCAGAGTAGAACTTAAATACATTTCCATAGTACTGTGTCCTATCCAGAGCTGTGGCTCTCAAAACGTGGTCCTTACCATCACCTTGAACCTTGTTCGACATACAAATCCCCAAACCCCAACCCACACCCAATGAACCAAAACTCTGGAGTTGAATGCTAGAGTTGTAACAGGCCCCAGAACTGATGGCTGCTGTGCCTTTAGGTTTGGGAAGCTGTTAAAGTTTGAGAAGCGTGAGATTAGCCCACTGGAAAAGAATTTGCGTCTATGTATTGTTTATATGTTCTATGAATACTATGGTGCACATCTGAATACTAGTGACAAGCTCTAGTGGCCTCTTTTTAAAGTTTGCTACGGTTGAAACGCCTTTCCTATTTAGACTGTGTTGTTGGTATAATGCTACATTTTTAAAAAATCATTTTATTAGGGGCTCATACAACTCATCACAATCCTTACATACATCCCTTGTGCCAAGCACATTTGTACAGTTGTTGCCATCATCATTCTCAAAACATTTTCTTTCTACTTGAACCCTTGGTATCAGCTCATCTTTTCCCTCCCTCCCTAACCACCCTTCCTCATGAACCCTTGATAATTTATAAATTATTATTTTGTCATGTCTTATACTGTCCGACATCTCCCTTTACCCACTTCTCTGTTGTCCGTCCCTCAGGGAGGGGGTTATATGTAGATTCTTGTGATCCCTTTCTATCCCACCTTCCCTCCACCCTCTTCATATCGCCAATCTCACCACTGGTCCTGAGGGGTTCATCTGTCCTGGATTCCCTGTGTTTCCAGTTTCTATCTGTACCAGTGTACATCCTCTGGTCCAGCCAGATTTGTAAGGTAGAATTGGGATCGTGATAGTGGGTGGGGAGGAAGCATTAAAGAACTAGAGGAAAGTTGTATGTTTCATCGTTGCTACACTCCATCCTGACTGGCTCGTCTTCTCCCTGCAACTCTTCTGTAAGGGGATGTCCAGTTGCCTACAGATGGACTTTGGGTCCCCACTCTGCACTCCCCCTCATTCACAATGATAAGATTTTTTGTTCTTTGATGCCTGATACCTGATCCCATTGACATGGCTGGTGTGCTGCTTCCATGTGGGCTTTGTTGCTTCTCAGCTATGTGGCCACTTGTTTACCAGCAAGCCTTTAAGATCCCAGACGCTATTATCTTTTGGTAACCGGGCACCATCAGCTTTCTTCACCACATTTGTTTATGCACACATTTGTGCCGAAGAGCTATCATGTCAGGAAGGTGAGCATCATGGATTGCCAGTTTAATAGAACAAAGTGTTCTTGCATTGAGAGAGTGCTTGAGTGGAGGCCCAATGTCCATCTGCTACCTTAATACTAAACCTATAAATATATGCACATAGATCTATTTCCCAATTGTCATATATAAATATATTTACATATGTACATGCCTGTATTTAGACCTCTATAAATGCCCTATGCCTCCTAGTTCTTTCCTCTATTTCCTTTTACTTTCCTCTTGTCCCACTGTCACGCTCAGCCTTCATTTGGGTTTCAGTAATTCCTCTGGGTTACATTGTCCTTGATCAAGCCCTACCAGGTCTCTTACATCCTCCTCGCCACTGATTTTGGATCACTTGTTGTTCCCTTGTCTCTGGGTTTAACACCACTTCCTTTACCCCACTGCTCCCTCTCCCATGCCCGACCCCCCAACTGTAGGTCCCATTGTTTTCTCCTCCAGATTGTTTACTCCGCCTATCTTATCTAGATAGACATGCAGAGATAATATGCACAAAAATAAGACAGAGCAAAACAAAGCAACAAAACAATAAAAAACCAATGACAAAAAAAAAAAGCCAAGCTTATACATAGTTCAGGATCTGTTTGTTGACCTTTAGGAGTGTTTTCCAGTAGAGTTTGATGGGGAAGACTCGCTCAGGTCCCAAAGTCTATTTTTGGTATTCCCTTGGGACTTCCTTGCTCTGCTCCCCTTGATGTTCTGTTGCACACCCTTAGTGTTTTGCCTCAGTGTGGTGGGGTCAGATTGGGCACAATTCCCATACTGTCTCCAGTGCTGTCCCTGTAGGGCTATGGGAAAGTGAGGAGTGTGGGGTTTCATAGTGCGGCTGGCGCTAAGGTCTTCTCTGTGGATTGATTGGCTGCTCTGAGCGGGACTATCATCCTCCAGGCCTGGTGGGCCAGGATGTGCTCCACTCTCTTCCTCCCCCTACATTTGCTCCCGCGTGCTCTGATCAGACACGTCCCTCTCCCTGAGCTGCAGCTTCAGTGCTGTCCTCTGAGGTAAAATTTTCGGGGGGGAGGGGCGCCAGTCTACGGAGTTGGAATGGGGGCCGCCACAACGCTGCCTTTTTAAAAGCGAAGTCAGTATAGCACCCCACTACTTTCTCTTCAGCCAGCACAACCTCTCCCGGCGAAAACCACTTTCCCGGGAGGCGGGAAAGTCTCAACGCCCAGAGGGGGTAGGTCTCAGCCAATCAGAAAGCCATATAGGAGCGGCTTGCCCGACCTAGCGACGTGATTGGCCACTTACCGCCGCAAAAGCCCCGCCCCGCCCGCGAAGCTTCGCATCCTCCGCACAGACCAATCGGCGCTGGGCCCTGGAAGGAGGCGAGCCCGCGCGAGCGGTTTAACATGGCGGAAGAGCTAGCGTTAGGAGCGCTGAGTCCGCGGGGATGTGCGGACGGGAAGGATGCGGACGCTGCCGAACAGCCCGGGGAGGAGCTGGGCCGGGACGGCGCGGAGCCGTTCGCGAGTCAGGACCTGCTGGCGTGCCAGGGCCAGGAGGAGGGCCCGGCAGAGGCCGAGGACGCGGGCCTGGTGGCCGAGGCCGAGACGGTGGCCGCCGGCTGGATGCTGGATTTCCTCTGCCTCTCTCTGTGCCGGGCCTTCCGCGACGGCCGCTCCGAAGACTTCGACCGGGCCCGCGACAGCGCCGAGGGTGAGTGCTGGGCGCCGGGCGCCGCGGCCGCGCCGCGCTGAGGGGCGGAGGGGCGGCGGCGGCGGGCTAGCGCGTCTTCCCCGCGCACCCGGTGGGGTTTGAAGAGACGGCGCTGCTTCTGCGGCCCCGCGGAGGGATCCGGGCCCGCACCTTCAGCGGGGCGCCCTCAGCTTTTCTCATCAGCAAAATGGGCGTAATGATACCGGTTTAAGGTTTAAGTGAATTAAAGATGTAGAACGCGTACCTAATGTAATGTAGTGTCTAGGGGGGCGAGGGAGAGAGAGATGGACGCTCGCACGTCAAAAAGCCATGCTACAAAATCATAGGCACCTCAATTGTAAGCTAGTTTCCCGACATAGCTATCCTCCCTCTGGATCTATCCGGTCTGGAGGCAGCCTTTCCAAGGCTCTGACCCTGTGATGGGAAAGAGACTCCTCCGTGCAAATCCCTCCCGGGCCCTTTCCCGCGAGAGGCGGTTGTCGGTTGTCTGGATCCCAAGCCCGTGGTTGCCCTGTGCCCTCGGAGCACATCGCAAGCTGACCCTTTCAGGATTCCCGCCCGAGCCCTCTGAGCTCCTCCTTCCGCCCCAATCTAAGTGGCCGGCCGTTTTCTCAGGACGCCTTTCTTTGGACTGGAAGGTACCCCAGCAGGACAGATGGATGACTGAGAACTTGACTGCGGCCGTCCAGCTCTCAGAGACCTGTGGAATGGGCGGGAACCCCCAGTCGCAATAAACTTTCTGATACAGCCTCTTACTTAGCGGTTCATTCTGCATAGAGATTTCTCTAGTCGTGGTTATTGGACAGTCACTGTTTGACAGGACATCCGGGCATCCATGCTTGCTTTGATTTGTGTGCTTTGAACCCATATTTGACTTATTTGCTCAGTATAATCCTCAGAGTAAAAGTTGCTGTCTCTAAAGTCTACCTAGACAGCATGTAATTAATTGCTAGGCAAAGCTATGGCCCTATAGAGAAGAGTTGTGTATTTTTTTAAAAGATAATCCAGTATTGTTTTAGAGTTGGCATATGTTTAATGGAAATTAAATGTACTTGTGACCAGTGGCATTTTTAGTAGAAAATTCTTGGAAACCCTTCTGGACAAATTTAATCTCATTTATAATGCAACAGTTACTCAGGCAAATAAAATTCATAGTTCAGAGGAGTAAACTAGTTCAGTATCATAAGTTACTGGTAGGTTAAAAAGAGTGTTCCAAACCCAAACCTTATCTTCTAATTCAAGCACCTTTCCTCTGTAGCACAAGATGGCACTGGAGCCTTCAATAATTTCCGATGATTAGAAAAATAAATCTTAGAATTAGATGAATTCCTATAATTAGAATGATTTTTGAAAAGACTTCTGGGGAGGAAGCTCACATGATCTATCTGGCAGTGAATTTGAGACATCAGTCTGAACTACTGTTTAACTTATTTCATACTAGTATAGATGATTTTGTATTGAAATACATAAGGGGGCTTCAAGAACTACATGAGAAATGCCATTATCTTTCTGTTCCCTTTTCCAGGAACTTTTTGAAGCCCTGTTGTGTATGTCTTGTAAACATGAGCAGCCGCCATGATGGGGCATTGGATTTGCTATTAGGCTGCTAACTAAACAGCCTCCCCAGGTGAGGCAGTCCGCTTTTGGAAATATGACTGCTTTGGAAACTATGGAGCCATCCTTGTCTGTCCTAGAGGGCCGCTATGAGTCCAAATCGCTAGAAATGGTAGTGGGTGTTTTGTGTGTAGACAGGAGTTAGTGTACACATATTTCTTTGCTCAACCAGTTGAGAAGGCATAGAAGCAATGAAACCCCAGTAGCAACAAGCACATCTTAAGCCCAGATTTTTATTTCTAATACAATTCTCTGGTAAAAGGAACCATGGAGAATGACTGATTCCAGAACTCGAGCAGGAAAGATAAACCTGGAGCATCTTAGGCCAGGTTGTAAAAATGTTTTGATTTTTTTTTTAAACCACAAAAAGAACTTCACAATCGTGGGGCTATATGAAAGGGACACAGGAGCCAACTGAAAAAGCCCTCCAAAACCAAAGTTCTAAAGAAGCAATATAAATACTAAGTTGTACCCCAAAGTATAAATTAAATGTCCCTGAATGATTGGGTAAATAAATAAATAGAAGAACTCCAAATAATTTTTGTAACTGTTCTACTCTTGGGAGCCCTAGTGGCATACTGGGTTACAGTTGGGCCGCTAACTACATGTTCACAAGTTCACAACCACCGGCTGCTCTGAGAGAGAAAGATGAGACTTTCTGTTCTTAGAAGATTTACAGCCTCAGAAGCCCTGAGGGGCAGTTCTATCTCAAGGGGTCTTAAAGAGTTGGAGTCAACTCGATGGCAGTGACTGGTTTTGTTTTGTTTTTTAATTCTCTTAAGTGTAGACTGTACTTAGGACTTCCATAGAGTACAGTGTGGAAAGAGAGGGCAAAAATAACTTTGAAGTGGAGAAGCCTGACAGACATTATCACAGCTAGGTGATCAAGGTCAACATCAGCAGTAATTTCTTAGTGGGGGTGTGTATGCTGGATAGGTGGTGATGGAATTTAATTTTACTTCTAGTCTTCCTCCCATTTAAAAACCCATAGCTCCAGTCTAATCATAATAAAAACATGAGACAAGTCCCAGTTGAGGGACCTGCTACAAAATACTAGGCCAATACTATTCAAAACAGTCAAGTCCATCAAAGACCAGGAACATCTGAGAAATGGTCACAGCCAAGAGGAGCCTGAGGAGACCTGGTAGTGAAATGCATTCTGAAAACGTAAGGAAAGGTGAATAAAGCATGGACCTTAGTTGGTGAAGTATATTAGTATCGGTCCATTAATTGTGACAAAGGTACCATGTCAATATAAATTGTTAGTAGTAGGGGAAACAGGATGCAGAATATATGGGAATGCTCTTATTCAGAATAATTCTGAAATTTAAAACTGTTCCATAAAATCAAGTTTACTGTTAAAAAAGACAAGTTTTATCCTATGGTTAAGGACAAGACTAAAACACATTTCCCAGTAATAGTGAGCCAATTTTCAAGTTGTGCTGCTAATTAGTGACGTATGCAAATTATGACCAAAGTGCGATCTCTAATCTCATTTTTAACTCAAGGAAATATATGTCAGTGCTCTCTAGGAAAGTCTTAGCTCTTTCATTTAGATAGAGCATTGTTCTCAGACCTACCTTCCTCAGATAGTGCTTTTTCCAGATATTATTCCTAATTGTTCTTATGTACCTTGTGCTCATCTCATCTGGCTCTTCCGGCTTCTGTTCCTTTTACTGCCATCTTCTGCTGATCTCCCAGACTAGTGGTTCTCAACCTTCCTAATTCCACGACCCTTTTAGACAGTTCCTCATGTTGTGGTGACCCCCAAGTATAAAATTATTTTTGTTGCTACTTCATAACTGTAATTTTGCTACTGTTATGAATCGTAATGTAAATATCTGATATGCAGGATATATTTTCATTGTTGCAAATTGAACATAATTAAAGTATAGTGATTAATCACAAAAATAAATAATTGTTTCTTGTAAAATATTTATTTCTAATTACAAATAAACGAAATTTTGTCTTGGAGCATGGTGTAGTATGGGCAACAGTCTTCATGACGGGTACTCGTATGTGGGCGTATCTGCATGTGAGCGGATCTGCCTGGAGATGGATAGAGGAGCGGTGTCTCGGTTCTTAAGACCATGGGAAATATGTGTTTTCTGATAGTCTTAGGTGACCCCTGTGAAAGGGTCCTTTGACCCCCAAAAGGGTCAAGATCCACAGGTTGAGAACTGCTGTCTTAGACAGTCTTCCTTATAATTGTATGTTTGGATAGTTAACTCAGAGTTTATCCATTCCACTACTTGCCATTGTCCTAAGTGACTCAAGCATCTGCATAGAGAACCCTTCTCAGGTCAGAATATGATCTCTCAATTCATTGACCTTTTTTATTTTCATTGTCCTGTATAGGATGATACTGCCATCTACTCCCCTCAAATCACACCCCTCCAAAATTGCAACTTCAAAAAATTTTGCCTTTTTTTTAAATAAGAGAGTTTTATATAAAGGGT